GCAGGCGCGCGGCGGCAGCGCTCACCGGCTCACACGCGCGCCCGCACGCACAGACCAATATATATACTCACATGCACACAAATGCACGCTGACCCAGCGCGCACAGTCGCCACACAGTGCTCGCATTTTCACAAGTACACACTCCCACGACGTTCACACGCATACACACAAGAATACACATACACACAAATACATACACACAATACTTATACACACAAAATTTGCACTCATGTACAAATACAACCACATGAGGACTTCACACAAAAATACGAAGTCATATACAATTACACACGTAGGCAACTACACACGTGCACACACTTATACGTTCACCTACACACATTAACAGACACAAACGATACACTCATACACACAGTCGCCCAAACTCACACACACTAGACACATACACTCAACATACACACTCATGCCAATTACACATAAATACACACACATACACATTTATACTCATACATTCACAGTAATACACACACTGACACACAAAAAAATCATACCCAAACACACAATGAACATACAGAAGCAAACACATTCATTCAAAAAAATTTACACAAACATACACATACTTGTATACAAGCACTTACATACAAATACACATTCATGCAAATTCATCCACCTTCACAAACCCATTCACACAAACTCACATCTCACCTGCCACATCCACACACTCACACTCATCCATCGGTGCATTTCCATGGCAGTAGGCGGGGTCACAGGGTGGCTTTGCATACCGGACAACCCTGGCTTTTCCATTTGTACTTGCACTGTTGTACTTAAACCAGGGGAGAAGGTTAATGAGTGCAACCCCCTGTTCCCAGATGCTGTTGGTTCCCTCTCAATGACTGTGGTTTCTCAGGACTAAGATGAACAAAACGAAATGTTAAGCACAGAGTTTTCAACGAGAAAAAAATACCCAAACTAGGGAGACTTGCTGCCCCTGACAGAACGTCTCCAGAGGCCACGCTGTCGTAGATGCACTAGATACCCCAGGTAGTACTCGATTCATTTGATTAACAAATCTCACAAGTACGACCAGAAAACCGAGACCCCTGTTATAAAATGTAAGTGGAAAAGAAAAAAACGTGCCCAGGAGCTGCAGGAGAAAGCTAGTGAAAGCCCCAGGGAGCACCAGGATTTGACTCGACTCCATAGGCTTTTCATTCCCTTTAGTCATTTACCATAAAAATGGTTTGCCATGAAGCGTTTATTGTTAATTTTTTTTTTAAATAAAATAAAATCCTTTTCTGGACCACCAATCTGCAACAATACACCTGTCTTGTACCACAAGCTGTGTGTTCATCAATTGATGGCCCAGGGGTTCTGCCTATTCCATCAGTGCTGTTTTTGCAGAATATTTTGTCTCTGCCTCACTGAGCAGCTGAGTGTTTTTTCCATCTTACCTAAAAACAAAAACAAAACACTTTCACTATTAAAAACTATGTAATAGAGGAATTGCCATTTGAAATTTGAAATTATAGTGTGAGAACAGTGGTCATTCCTCTTTACACATTTGTAGTCTTAGGGACAGTGCTATGCTAATTTGGGTTTAACCCAGCCAGGAGCTTGCATTCTTACTTAGAGCAGATACAAGTACAGAGACAATAAGTAAATGTGGACAAGGTTTGGAGCCAGATTCTAAAGGCAGAGGAGATGGCAATTGCCTCAGGAGGACTTTTATTTCCTTCTCTGTGGTCCAGTCCCAGCTCTGAGAACCATAAGTGAGTTGACACCTGTGTGTTTGATGCGCTCCAGTTTTGAGCGGAAACCATTAAGGGTGTGAATTCAATACAAAAACAATTTTGCGATGAGTATTCAAACCTTCTAGCCACTTGTGTGTGTGTTTCTTTCAGATGTGAAACATTCTTTCCCTAATAAGCAATGTCTCTGGTGTGGAGGCTAATTTCAGTGCTGATTTATCCTTTCTCTCTACTCAAATGTCCTTTTGATTTGAACCACATGAAGTATTCTTCTCAGCCTCTCGTCTGTCATCACTTCCTACCATGTAAGATGTTGTGGCTGTCATATGGCCCCTGACAGTGACAGAAGGGAGCTCTGGCTTCCTCTGAAGTTTGGCTGGTAATCATTGTTGGTTTTAATCATGGAAATTCACTGGGAGAACTATGGATTTGATCCCCTGTTCATGTCCTCAACATGATACTTAGGTGATGCAGAAGACACAGACGAAAGACAGTACCTCTGTTCCTGGTGTGCTCAGTCTATTAAGAACATGATTTAATGTTTAGGTGTTTCTCACTTGACTGTCTGCTTCTCCAAGATGGGGCTGTATCGCTAATCCCTGAAGCACCCAGTGAGAGAGCTTATATGCAGTTGGCACACAAGTGATTCATAACTATTTCCTAAATTAATACAGTATTTGCTCACTGAATTGTGAAAGGGTGCACACGTTTGCAAATATCAGATCATTTTGCAAAGCTGTACGGAAAAAACAAATTCCTGGACAATCCAGAGAAGCCATAGCCTGTGGGGTGTGATGGGCACTGGTGGGCCTTTATCCTCCTTCATTCATATGGAAACTGCTTCTCTGGACTGGTGCCATCTTGAAACACAAAGGGCCAGGAGGTTACGTAAATGAGGGTGCCTTTTCCCCAGCTGATCAAACAGGTTGGCTAAGGGGACTATGTTCCAAGTGGGTGGGAGCAAGCTCTTCTGTGAATTCATTGTTTTTCCCTCTTGCATTTCATGGACTCTTTCCTGAAAGGGTCAGTTTCAGTTGATTCTCAAGGGCAACAAAGCATTTCTCACTGATAACAGTGAAAGGGTCTTTTTTGCCTTTTTCTAAGCAAGTTAAGAGGAAAAAAGCAGCAATGAACTGCCATTTCTGGAACCTAATGACAACTTGTAGAGGGAGAAGTTATCCACATAATTTGACAAAAAAGGAAGGGAGGGAGGGAGGAGAAATTTTATCTGAGTGTCCAAAACTATTAAGGTGGGGGGTGTGGGGGGCGGCTGGAGAGCTGATTCTACAAAAGTAGAGCATATTCTATAGCTTTTCAAAATCCCTGGGATCATGCATGAGATGGCACTCCAGGAGAGGGTCCTGGGAGCAAACTACCATTCAGAGGTTAGGAGGAGGAGGACAGCAGGGAGGGAGGGAGGACCTGGAGAGTGGGCTGTCCCAGAAGCTAAGTGAGGAAAGAGGGAGTGACCTTGTCAGGGTCACATGACTGGTGGTATACGCCCTTGAATCCACATCTGGTCACTGCCACTGCCTGTCCAAATGGTCATACAGTGAGGCTAACTGACTGCTTAGGCAAGGAATCCCTTTATCCGGCTGCATTGCACGAAAGACCCTGAGCACATTTCTTGGTGGCTCTAACGTCCAGCTAGCTGCGCTGTCGTTGCTGTTGCAGATGGCGGAGGGCACAAGCTGCATACTTTGCGGGCAGAAGTAGAAAAGGAGTGGGGGAGGCTGTGGGAGCGATTTGAAAACTATACCAATTTTCTGTCTCCTAGGAGCTGAGAGCCTTGGGTTCTCTCTAGGGGCAGAAACTGTTCCTTTATGAGAACTCCTGGAATAGGTGCTTTAAAGCAGTTCAGAAATACAGAGCAAATAGATACCCTTTCATTCTGGGAGAAAACTGAAGGGATCTGAATGCAAGTATTTTGGCTCCGAAATTCAGTATGCTTTTGTAATACCCATTATTGTGTGCACAACTACTCTGATATTTCTTTGTCTTCTGGCAGAAGCTGGCAAGCTGTGTCGATGAAAGCACTGCTCCTTCTTCCTAGCAGGGAGAAAACTCTATTTGCCTGCTGTGTAACTCGGTTTTGGCCTCAGGGATGTGGGCACGTGTGATGGGCACCTCCTTGTAGGTCTGGTCATGCTCATCTCTGCTCTTTCTTCTTATCCTTGGTAAGAAGAGAGACAGCATCTTGAAGTCAGCAAGGCTATAAGACAGAAGGAGCCAAGGTCCTGGAGTCACTGCTGGCTGCGAGCTGCCAGGAGCTGTATGACCCAGGTGACATTGTAACATAAGCAAAACAGAAACTTTTGTGGTGTTAAGCTGCTGAGATACCAGGTTTCTTGTTACAACATCTAGTGTTAATGGCCCTGACTGGTACACTTCTCCATGCATTTAAACTGCACTATACTACAGACTGTTCTTTGTACTTTTTAAAAACAGGCTTATTGTGGTGTAACTGACTTACCAGTAACTGCACATATTTAAAGAATACTATTTGATAAGATTTGACATATTTGTATCTCCATGAAACTATGGCCACAATCAATACAGCAAACATTTCTACCTCATTGCTCTTTGAAATCCTTTTCCTCCTACCTCTCCTTGCCCTCCACCCCCTCCACCCAGGCAACCACTGGTCCACTAAGTGACTGTGAGTCAGTTTGCTTTTCCTAAAAGCTTATATAAATGGACGGATACAGTATGTACTCTTTTGGTCTGGCATCTTTCACTCAGTATAATGATTTTGAGATTCATCTATTTTGATGAGTGTATCAATAGTTTG